AAAGATACTAGAGACCAAACAAGATACTAGAAACCAAATGAAACAGACACAGATAATCCTGAAACCCTGAACTTCAGAGGAAAGGTTAGAGAAGTGGATTGAGTGAATGCTGGGAGGAGAAGCTGAGCAGAGGCAGTGAGAGAGGGAGACAGACTGCTGGTGAATAGGTGGCCAGATGTGGCATTTCCATCTTGGGAGCAGCTTTTGCAATAGAAGGTAGCCTGGCAGAACAAATTCACTCATGAGACAGGAAGGAAATTGTAATAACAAGGCCAGTTTAAAAAAAAAAGCTTTAAGAGTGTTCCTTGAACTGAGAAACAAAAAGAGCAGATAATAACCTGAGATTACCATATATGACAACAACACCCAGAACTTAGTTCAGATATGCTGCTGTTGTTGGGTACAACTGTTGAGTCAGTTCCCATTCATAATGGCCCTGTATAGAGTTTCCATGGTATGATTCTTGTGCTATTGTTGTTCTTAAGTGCCATTGAGTCAGTTCCAACCCACAGTGATGCTGTATAGGGTTTCCAAAGAACACCTGGTGAGCTTGAACTGCCAACCTTGTAGTTCATACTGGCATTGCAGTCCAGCGCATTAACCCACTTAGATGGAGCAAAAAGACTCATCTTTCATTTGCAGAGTGGCTTGCAGGCTTGAACCACGGATCTTGTATTTTGTAGTCCAGTGCTTATCATATAGAAGAATTAAAAATAAAACAAATCTAAAGGACTGACAATAGGGAAACAGTGATGTCAATTTATAATGAAGTTACAACGCATAAAGAGGGACTAGTGTAGATACAGAACTTCCAAAAGGCAAGGGATTAAAGATAAACAGACTGTTTTAAATGGGAAAATATTAATAAATTTCAGGGCAACCTACACAGCAAAATTTAAAAAAAAGATAAAAAAAGATAAAAATCAGAAAGGTTTAGTAAGCAATTAACACAACAGAATTGAAAATGCAAAGAAAACACACAAACAAAATGAACTCAGTGCAGAAAATTATATGAAACAAAGAAACCAGCAGCACCAAATTAAAAAAAAACAACAACAAAAAAAACACACAGCAAAAAGGCAGCAATCAATTCATACCTATTGATAATTACACTGAATGTAAATGGATAAAATGCACCAGTCAAAAGACAGAGAGAGCAGAATGGATAAGAAAACAGGATCCTTCAATATGTTGTCTACAAGAGGCACATCAAAAAGATGGAGGCAGCCTAAATGTTCATCAACAGAAGAATGGTTAAACCAATTTTGGTACATCCACATAATGAAATACTACTCAGTGTTGAATAACAATAAATCTGTGAAAGATCTCACAACATGGATAAACTTGGAGGGCATTATGCTGAGTGAAATTAAGGAATTACAAAAGGATAAACTTTGTATGACACTAATGGTGTAAAAAATTAAGAAAAGGTTTTCTTGATAAAATAAATTACTTATTATGGTACAGGAAGGATATAGGGAGGCGTAGAAATTATCCATGGTCTACATGGTTGATGCATGTTAACATGAGTGACAGGACAGGTAATATACAACAAGAGCGAGGTGAGCAGGAGGTGTATAATGTTAAAGTGAATAGAGGTAAACACTATAAACTTGGTACATGGAAGGAATTGCAATCATTGTAATGAAGTAAAGTATATGACTTGTCGAATGCAAAACTGATCTATAAACCTTCACTCAATTCAAAATAAAAAGTTAAAAAAAAAAAAGTCAACGACGTATTGCATTATAAAAAATGTCTACAAAAGATCGCTTTAAAGTGTTCAAGAGCAAAGATATCAGTTTGAGGGTTAAGCTGTGCCTGACCCAAGCCATTTTCAATAGCCTCATATGTATGTGAAAGCTGGACAACAAATAAACAGGACAGAAAAATTGACGCATTTGAGTTATGGTGTTTGCAAAGAATATTGAATAGACCATGGACTGCCAGAATGGTTGAACAAATCTCTCTTGGAAGAAGGACAACCAGAAAGTTCCATGGAAGTGATAATGGTAAGACTTTATCTCATGTACTTTGGATGTTATCAGAAGGGACCAGTTCCTGGAGAAGTCATCATGTTTAGTAAAGTAGAGGGTCAGTGAAAAAGAGAAAGATCTTCAGTGAGATAAGTTAACTGAATAACTGCAAAAATGGGCTCAAACATAGCAATGACTGTGGTGAGCATGATACAAGACCACAAAATGTTTTGTTCTGTTACACATAGGATCACTATAAGTGGGAACAGACTTGATGTTACCAAATAACAATAACAACATTTGTGTATCTTTTCATATGTGATATTAGTAAAAATAATTTTGATATTTAGATCCCAAGGGATATGTTTAAAAGAATTGCATTTGCTATTCTGCAAATATGAGAAATGGTTGTTATCATTTCTTTCATTTGTAATCACATAAACTTTTAATTAATTTTATATGCTTCAATTTAAATATATGTGAATAGATACATAGTTCTCAAAATTCATTTAGAATTTTTATAGATCATTATGCAGCAGTATGGTAAATTAATAAAAGACAAATAGGTTGGCAGATATATGCCCTTAACTAAATACTTTACCTTCAATAGCACTTTCTTTATGTTATAGACATATTGTCTCTAATGCAAAGAATCTTCACAGAACTATAGTGTCAAAAACAATATCTTAAATAATATTTCTGATATAGAGACTGCATCTTGCAACTAAGTATTTTATTATAACTCACCCTTGAAAATGGTATTTTTTATTTGTATTTTTAAGGCACTCATTGTTAAAATATTTATAGAATTTATTGTTCAAATATCAGTTTGAAAAGCTTTTCCAACAATCAAATGATATATGCTGTGTGGATGAATAACCATTTTAATACTGTTGTTGTTGTTTGTTGTTGTTTTGTTTCTTGTGGCTCGTGGCGTTGTTGTGGGTTTCCAAGGAGCAGCTGGTGAGCTTGAACCACTGACTTTGCAGTTCAAATTACTTTGCAGTCTGACGCGCTAGCCCACAGTGCCACACCAGGATTTTAATATAGGTCTATGCAAATTTTAAAATAAATAGGAGAATCTATTTAATAAAAATATTATTGACTGTTTCTTAGCTGAAATTTAATTATTTGGAATTACAAATATTTGGGTGATCTTTGCCACCACTTCCTCCTTTAAAAGTGATAACTGACAATTTAACTGAATTTTAATTTGTAAATCCATTGCTAATTCGACTCCTTCATGTGATGACTTAGTAATATTTTCAAATGATCATTAACCACATATTAACTTCCTTGAGGAACAGTACTTACCCTCTGTTACATTTAGCTATTTCATCAAAAAGAATTTTCCACCGAGGACGTCCAATAAAAAGTCTTGAATTCAGTGCCTGGTATTTTTCTCCAATTATTTTCTGCCAAAAAAGAAAGCATTTTATTTTATATGACTCACAGATCTAGACAAATAATCCACTGCTCTAACATCATTTCTGCTGGTTCTGCAGCTGCTTTCCAAGTTGCTGTGGTGTAAGGAATATAAATGTCAGCCAGGGGTCAATCTGGAGGCATAGTCCTACACACTAGGCCATCCCTCTACAGTAAAGACCCAAGAAACCAAGTGAAATAGATGCATATGATAATCACGGAACTCTGATCAGAAGATGAAAGAAAAAGGAATAGAATCAAACATTCACTGGAAGAAGAAATAGAAAGAATGCATCAAATAAGAAGTGATACAGAGCAGAGGTGCGCCATCAGCCAAATGCATTCAGCATGGCCACCCTGAGACAAAGTCAGTGGTGACCTCAGAATAGGAACACAGAAAGGTAACTTCACAGCATTTCCAATAAGAGACAGAGAAACTGTGGGTAGACACATCTGGAGAGAAGCAAGGTGAGTGGGACATGATCCTGAGCTGAGGAAAAGAAAGCACAGAAGAGTGAAGAATTCTAGTGATGTGCTTTCTTTTCCTCCTTAGATCAGGATCATGTCCCACTCACCTTGCTTCTCTCCAGATGTGGCATCCACATAGTAGGGAAGAAACCAGGATCTGGAGCCAGCTATGTTTGCAAGTAATAGTTCCTGACCATTAAAAGTTGGGTGGCATGCAGTAAAGAAAAGATCCATACAATGTCAATGGAAGGTACCCCACCTGAGTGGACCCCAGGCAGCCTTCTTACACATTTGGTTGGGGACATATTCCACCCATTCACTCAACCACCAACCAGTTTCCTTCTGCTGCCCACCTGGAGACAAGTGGTAAGCATCCCAGTACTGCTAGACTAGAGACCAGTGGAACATGCCTACCCTTGCCTGCACAAATATATCAAATCCAAACAAAACAAAAAAACAGAACAAAGCAAACACACATATAATCAACCAATAAGTAAAATAATGCCTTAGTGTCTTGGTGTGGTGCCTTGAATTTACTTGATATGGTTTTTCTATCCAAAGTCTTAATTCCCAATAAGTGATTGGGTTGCTGTTGTTGTTGTTAAGTGCCGTCGAGTCAATTCTGACCCATAGCAACCTTGTATAGGGTTTCCGAGGAGTAGCTGGTGAGCTTGAACCACCAAACTTGCAGTTCAAACAGCTTTGCAGTCTGGCGCATTAACACACAGCACCACACCAGGACTCCAGTGACTGGGTGGGACCATGCAAATAAGCTATACAGGACTCTAAGGCTGAGATGGGCTAGTTTTGTCCTCCAGCTTGGTTTAAAAGGAACCATCTTAGAGTTGACAGAAGATCCCAGGATAATCAAGACAAACAGAACTTTAGAAGAATTCAGGAAAATAATAAAGGTAATATAAATAGAAAATTAGGAACCATACCAAAACAATAACTAGAAATCCAAAAGAATAACTTATAAAATTTCAAAATTTATAGATAACTCAAGGGAAGCCTAAAGAATAAGAATGGAAGCAATGGGAAACAGAATCAATAAAATAAAAGAGAAATCCCTTGACCTAATTACTTTGTGCAAAAAAAAGAATGAAGAAATCCTAAGAATTATGTGGGGAAAATATACATGAAGTGGAAGAATTGATGGGAGAATTCCAGAAAAAGAGACAAAGAAAAGCACAGAAAAGAGCTGTTGGAAGAAAATTTTCCTAACACCATGAAAGACAAAAAGATAAACCATTCAAGAAGCTGAATAAATTTCAACCAGAATACACCCCAAAAGAAAATCACCAAAACATAATCAAACTCTCCATAATCAAAGAAAAGGATAAAATCCTGAAAGCAGCTTGGCAAAAACAAAGTTACCTACAAAGGAGAACAATTAGAGTAAGCTCTGATTTCTCAGCACAAACCATGCAAGCAATAAAGCAATGAGGAGACAAATACAAAACTCTGAAAGAAAAAAAAAAAATTAGCAAGAATCATATACCCAGAAAAATAATCCGTCAGATATGATAGTGAAATCAGAACATTTTCAGAGAAGCAGAAACTAAAGGAATTTGTAAAAACCAGACCAATTTTACAAAATACAGTAATGGCAGTCCTTTTGACTGAGAACCAACAACAGCAGACAACAATGGGAGACTGACATACACGGCAATACCAGCCAGAATTCAATCCAGCTATAAAAGTAACCAAAGTAACACAAACTTACAAGATTGAAAATAGTGAATCAGAGATATTAATTTATAATCAAGATAACTACAAAGCAAAAACTGGGAAAGGTATAGTTATACAATTCAAAATAGTGAGGAAATCAAGTAGATTTCAAGATAAACCAGACTGTTTTAAGCAGGGGTAAAATTAATAAAATACAGGGTAACCTCAAAGAAAATTAATACACCTTCTTATCAAATCAAGAAAAGGGAAAATCATGAAATTTTTGCAAATATTAAAACAACAGCAGTGAAAAACTGACAAGAGAAGTCACCAACAAAATTAATTTGGCAC